TCGGGGGGGTCAGCTGACCCTCTGACCCCCCCCTGGCTGCGCCACTGTAAAGAGGGCATCAAAGTATTAGGAATCTTCTGTAAAAACAACAAAAACAACACCCAAAACCAACATCAGCACCTACCCAAGATACCTATAATAAACAGGTAGATCCGATGTTTTGAGTAAAGCCCTGGTGACGTCACTGATATTTCTTATATGGAGAATTTCACCCGTAAGGAAAATATTTTACATACAAAAATTTGTATGCTATTAGGAAAAAATACAATCTTTCAATTCCACCATGAAAATTATATAATTTAATTAATAAACTCGAAATCCTTTGAGTGTTTGTCCCAACCCCCTGTTATACCTTTGGTCACGTGACTACCATGATACACTTTGCATTTTACAAGGTTATGACTTAAACGGAAGTAATAAATGCTGCAAATGTATTATTTATGATGTTTTAGGCAGCAATCGTGTGAATATATCCTGAAATTATCAATAATCTGCTGAAAAGAAGTCACGTGATATTACCAGATTGTGCTCGGACAGCATCTTCTTGAATTTCGATTTTGAGTACTTTGTATCTTCATTGAGGCCTAATAATGGACGTTCTTAGTTATAAAATGAAGCACTAAATCTAATGAGGGCAAAATTTAATCATTTTTGCACTTTCAGGCCGGGCTATCCTGGCATGAACTTCGGCAAGTTTGTGTGTAAAGCCTATGGTGAAGGGAAAACTTCACACCCGGCTGACGTCACAGACCTCGGCTACCAAATCGTGTCCGGTGGGGGCTGCACCTACCCACGCTGCTCCTCAAGACGCAGAACCGGAAATAGAGACCTACGTAAACAAGCAGCTGACTGAAAGACAGGATAAAACACCTATCCGTCGATAAGAAATGCGATTTTTTAGCGTTTAACCCAGGGGTGCGTTTTCCCCACAGTTACCCTACAAACAAACGAATGAACGAATACACGCAAGAACAAATAAACAAGTGACAGGTAAATGAATGAATTAATGAATGAATGAATGAATGAAACGGTTCCCGATTTCAATCAGTGTTTGAATTGAATGTAAGTGAAACGCGGTTCCATCCCACAAAACTCGCGGTAGTGATGCCCCCATTCATTTATTCATCCAATACTCAGGTCATTCGGTCGTCAAAAGGCCTTAATTGATGTCAACTCAAACTAGCGGTGCCAATCGGGCTTTGCCTCCGGAATTCCGATTGTCTGATGTCCAATTCAGAATTTGGTTGGACAAAGGCAGCAGGCTTCGTAGTTCGTGCAACTTTAGAGTTTGGACGAAAGCTCGGCTGTGGCGCTAATTAAGCACTTTTGGGCTACTAATAGTAGCCGTTTTCACGACGGCCATCTGGTACACATTTAGTGCACATCTGGTGCAGATTAGGTGCAGATTTGGTCAAATTAGGTTCAGTGTGTCTCTTAATAGGCTATGAGCTAGGGTTGCACTTATTGCTTATATGCCTACTTTGTCATATTATCAGAGAGGATCATCGATTAACCCTCGCCCGTATAGGGGGGGGGGGGGGTCGAACGGACCCCCCCATGGTTTTTCGCAAATAACTCGCGTAAAAAGCGGCCGATCGCGACGAAACTTTCAGTACCCTCGCGTTCATCAATTTTACACCTACCCTGAAAATTCCATGACCCTGACCCAAATGACCTTTGACCTGTGACCTACTTTTCGAGACCATGTTTGGCCGGAATCGCGATTCGGCGTATGTCGGCTCGCATTATCCGCGCGTTTGCAGTCTTTTCGTGGTTTCAAGCGTTCAAACATGTGATATGATGTTGCCCCCATGCATTAGGGTGGGTGTCAAGGTCACCTGAAGGTCAGGTCAGGTCATTGACCTTTGATGACCTCGGTTCACTTTTTCGAGTTTTACATGTTTCTAGACCAGTTTTTGGAGCTGAATTCGAATTTAGCAACCATATGAACATTTACGAAGTAGTTTTGGTGCCTTCGTAACATGTTACGAAGCTGTTAGAGGCGGTTGCCACCTACTACGAATACCCTTACTGGTTGACCTGACCTGACCTGACCCGACCTGGCCTAAATGCATGAAGACATCATCTGTGATCAAAAGTAACATGATATTCGTGATCAGCACCCCGAAAAACCCCATAGCAGCCACACTTTACGACGTTCTGACAGGTCCCGATTTTCCCGACTTTTGGGTCATTGACCTGACCTGCAAGGTCAACCAATGACCTAGGACCTTAAAATTGGGTATCATCGGCTTCCTCTCGTCACGGGCAGCACGCTCGTTTTTTCCGCAAAGCTTTAGCTCGATCAGGGGCGAAACGGCAAGGGGGGGGGGTCCAACGGACCCCCCCCCTTATACGTTCGCGGCTGGAAAAACACCAATACGGGCGAGGGTTAAACACTGAAATAAATTAATAAAATGAAGATATTTCCAGTAAAAGAGATTAGGTACAGATTTGGTCAAATTAGGTGCATGCGCCGGATAGCCCGTCGTGAAAACGGCTAGTAGGTAGGTACCTACTTACATCAACATTAAAAGCATTAAAAGCACCTTTAATAACAGTGTTCGGGGTAAATCATTGCGTAGCTTTCGGACATCTTTAGACAAATTACTGGCTTGGACATTTTTGGACGGACAGTCGACGAAAAAAACGAACATTGAAAGTACATACATTGGACATACATTAATTTATCTGAAACTGGTACGTAACGTAGGTACTATACCTACTGGGATCAACGGACACGGCAATTGTCGTCGGCAATAAACAAACATCGCGATTCGCGTTCGAAGTAGGTTGAGGTACAGCCGGTACAGCCCTCTGCAAACTGCGTGGTAGATATTTTTTTCGACAATACCGAGAATAACGCGGATACCTACTATGCTATCGGTCACTCGGAAATCGTAACAGCAAGACGCGCGAGACTCCGCACCTTGGATTGGCATTACCATCGTATTCATTTTCCATCCAGTTTGGCAAGAAAACCCAAAAGTTTATATTTGCCCCCAAAACAGACTTTTGCATTTTGTTGCCACACGAGGCACATACTTTATTTAGTGATAGACCCAATCGAAGGAGTGGAGCATGGCGCCTCTGCCCTCTATTCCCAGGGAGTTCCGACCGACTGATGGCATAGCCTTTGAGTTATTACCGGTTTTGTCTAAAAAAGAATACCTACCACGCAGTCTGCTGAGGGCTGTACCTATTGCTCTTGGCCTGATGGCAATCAAAGGGACCCTCCCACCTTAACATTAGATTTGAGTTGAGATAGCCAAAATGGGGTCCCTGGCTCACAATTACCGGTTCATTCACAACATCGAGAAATGCCTTAAAGGGACCCTCCCACCTTAACATTAGATTTGAGTTGGGATAGCCAAAATGGGGTCCCTGGCTCACAATTACCGGTTTCGGCACTCACAACACCGAGAAATGCCTTAAATCGGAAATATTGAATTTCAAAATTGCAGCATTTTGATTCAGAGGGGCTAATGCATAGGAATACCCCTCTGAATGTGTGACGTCAGCGCAGATATCTAACGATTTTTAAATGTTTGACTAAAACGTTTTGTAGCACGCGGTGGTATATGCTGCGTTGCGCGCAACAAATGCCGCACTTTTAAATAAAATCGCTAGGAACAGCGGAGATCCCAAAAAGTAAACAAAAGTAAAAGTCTAATATCTTGAAAACCGGTGAATATTTTTCGATGAAATTTGGTAGATATTCGTTTTCGCTGTTTCTGAACCGAACGACATTTATTTCATGCCAATTCATTAACTTTTTTGAAGGTGGGAGGGTCCCTTTAAATGTGGTTACATACCTACCTACATATAATAGAAGTGACGTGGACGGTGGTGGATGTCATAGGATGACTGACTTCAGACGACGGTGTTATTTTTTGTCATCCATAAACAATGCCGATTTTATGTGCAATTTTATGTTTAGGTTTACCCATTTAGGGGAGAGTGGGGTGGGTTGTATCAGTTTTTACTCCGAGACCCATAACCTCGTAACTATCCGTGATAAACTCATTATTTCCATACTATCTCCTTCCTTGATTCTTCTGCTTTTTTGTCCAAAGTAACTTTTCCGCTACCTCTACCAGTTTTTCTTCTACGGTCTGCCGAATAGAACAATGTTTTTGATACAACTTGCCCCATGGCTTGGGTGAGTTGTATCACATGGTGGGGTAATTTGTATCACTAGGTATTTCACGTTTCAGGGAGTGTGCTTGCTACTGGTTTTGAGCATAACAACAACATTAAATGGGGTTGATACAATGTATATGCTCAAAGGCTTCACTTTTATTAGACCAAACTTAGGTCAATGGAATCCGAACGAAACATCGAAACGAACGAAACATCAACAGACTAGACGCAAAAGTGGCCCGTTAAGAGCAAAGAAGCCAACACATTGTGCCAAAATGGAACGAGTATTGACTAGCTACCTACAAACGCGAGCCAGGGCTTAGCTTTCGCGATCAAAAGCAACATACCTATACATACATACATATTACAACATACCCCACCCGGCTCTGATACAACATGTACCTCGCCGCCATCTTGGAAAAACATCCTCGTGCTCAAAAACAGCGGACAGCTGGAGAAATCCATTTTCACTCACGCAGCCTTAGAACCTACCCTCACCACCGCTACGGAGATCTTTCAAATTCGTGCACATCTAAATGTCCAAAACACACATTTTCTTGCAACTTATTTTTTTAGAATGACATTAAAAAAACATAAAATCGGCTCTCACCTCGAGACGCGTCCACCCAGCCACACGTCAGAACAGGGAAAGATGCCGCCCGGAAAACCTCGTCGGCTGGTCGTGTCACGAGCGCCATCAATTGGATAAGTTTCGCACAATTCGCCCTGATACAACTTGGACATGATACAACTCTCCCCGCTCTCCCCTATCCTAAGCGATGTCAAAGTCAGCATATATAATTTAGCACTCAATTCGTGAAGTTCATATTTGACGCACATGTTACTTATTCTTTTTCATAGTTTAGTAGCCGCAGTTTCATTTTCCACTACATTTGGTCTCATGATGTCATTAACATTTTTAATTGCGTTCTTTTGTCTCTACTCTCTAAGCATTTTTTTGGCAAAATCTTGCCATGAAAACTTTTCTTGTAACGTGTTCATCGATTCAACTGCTTACATGATGTTGAAAATTACAAAAATGTGGACTTAACTACTAGCTTTTTATCCATGATATTCCCCTCGCTAGACGTATTTATGACGTCATCAAGTACAAAATGTTTCTTGTTTTTCAATATGTTGCCGTGCTTGATGAGAGTGCTTGATGCGTGCATATTTACGTCTGGACAACGAGTATGCGTGTGTGTGAGAGGATTGAGGAAGAGTTCGTTCGCTTCTGTTGATGGACGCTTGAGCCCTGGCAGCTACGCGCCCTAATCCAACAAGAACAAGAACAAGTTCGCTTCTGTTGGGATTCTTTTTATATCTACTTTTTTTGGGTGCGATACATTATAGAGTTCAGTGGTGTGATAACATTGGAGGTCGTCATCCACAATAAAAATACTGCACTCGCCATACATTTTGCTGCACCATTGTCACAGCCCATAGGTTTTGTGACTGGGGGTGGTAGGAAGTAGAAAAATTATTAAATTATCGTCTCATGTGCATGACAGTCGTGGGGTAGCGAATATATTTAGTTCGTGAGCATCCACGAATTCAGCCATGATCAAAGCTGTTCTAGTTTTTAACAATCATGGGAAGCCAAGGCTCACCAAGTTCTACCACTATTATGTGAGTATTATGTACCTATTGATATGATTTTTGGAAAATGTGAAACAAAGTCAGAGTAGAAAAAACAATCCAACCTAACCTAACTTTATCTACTAACCTTCAACTCAACCTCCAACCAACATACTTACAACCTATCAACCTACAACCTACTAACTTTAAACCTATATGCTTACCACTCGGACTTCATCTTCACACATAGGTACCTACCTTATTATCTGGGTAGTAGGTAGAAAGCAGGTGTAACAATCATTTTTTGCAACCAAGGAGAGGTGCTGTAGGTTGTAAGATTGTAGTTTTCAGGCTTTAGGTGGTAGGTTTTATGCTGTAGGTCATAGGTTTTAGGTTGTAGGTAAGGCTAGGTCAGGTTCAGTTAGGTTTGGTTTGGCTGATAGGCGGCGGAATGTGGAGGGCACCGGGGCACTGTGCCCTCTTTGATTTTGGCATTTTAACATTAGCCCTATGGGCATTGCATGGAAAGATTGGGACCAAAAGTTGGCAGTGCCCCCCCCCCCCTTAATTGAAGGTGTTCCGCTGCTACTGGTTTGGTTAGAAAGCATCTCTGGGGACTCTGGGTACCTATATACCCTCTCCTTTGTTGCAAAAAACAAGTGTGATGCCTGCTTTAGGACTACCATTTTCTGCATATCACATTTTGCTTTCCTCTTGTTTTTGACTGTTTTGTTTTTGTTTAATTCTGCCAGATTAACATTTGACAGTTATGTTCATTAGATATTCATAAGAAGCTTTCAATTTGCAAGGTGATGAAAATGTAAAATATAAATAACTTTGATAACAAATGCATGCAAAATATCATCAAGAAACAAGTTTTTTTCTATTACTGTTTAGAATGTGAAATCATGGAGGAAGGAGTACTGGAGTGGCAACTTCACGCTTTTTTGCGACAGACACCTTCCAGCTAGTACCGTTCATAGGTTCTTATCGTAAGCAGAACTATACCATTCAGCCAATCAGCGTTGCCAACCGTCCATAATTCAACCAATGAGCGCGCTCGTAACCAGCTGACGAATAAAATGAACAGACTACATCGAGCAATATTTAATTTTATAAGTTTATAAGTTTATGTTTATAAGTTTATTATTATAAGTATAATAATAATATAAATAATATAAAATATTTATAAGTTTTAATGTCAATTTCAACGAGCCGGCGCCTGCCCGTTCTTCCCGTCCTCGTCTCCAGCTGTAGATGTACCGCCCTTCGCGCACCGGATTTGAGATTAATCTGTGAAAGTCGCTAGAACTTGAATGTAACCATTGTCTTCTCCGTTTAATTTCCTGCTCATTGATGTACAAAAATCACACGTAGCGCCCAAAATAATCTTCCTACGCCCTTTTCTCTAAACCGCTGCACGCCATAGCCCGCCATTATAAGCCGACCGCCGCGACCCGCCGATACTAGCTGGGGCGTTTCGACCCGCTCCCGCTAGGTGGCCCGTGTCTGTCGCTAACGGCCCATGCTAAAGGCATGGAGTTGCCACTCCAGTATTCTCTCCTCCATGGTGAAATCATGGATTGATGCCAGGTTTCCTAGATTTATCCTTGGCTGTAAGCTAACCCTAAACCCACAGGTTAACAACCAGCTAAAAGAAGGGGTACTGGGGTACTGCCTGCCATGTGTAGATACCTCAATGCAATGCATGCAGTAATTGCAGTAGATATGAACTAGTTTGCCCCATTTTGACTTGCCCTTGTTTCAGAATGAAGAGATGCAGCAGAAGATAATCAAGGAGACATTTCAGCTGGTGTCGAAGAGGGAAGACAATGTGTGCAACTTTCTTGAGGGAGGAACGTGAGTTATGCTGTCCTGTCCCTATCTTGTTCATTTTAGTATGCTGTTACAATTTCTGTGTTCCTTTCAAGTGGGAGCTGTGACTGCTTTGCTCTTTCATAAATGAGACTTATGATAGGTATAGGTATAGGTATAGGTATATAGATAATGGACTTGGGTTAGCAGTATGCTATTTGTTGTCCATGTCATTGTTGGCAAGGAAACATTCCAGTGCAGAGGAAGTACTGGGAAACCATGTGGCACAACTATCGGGAAGAAACATGAGCAAAGAAACAAGGAGCAAAGAATGATGATTGGGATCTCTGTGGGCTGTTTGGCTGCATGGCCAAAACAAAATATGCTGCAGCACGCATGCACAGTGAGAGCCACTGTGCCTATTAAACCCACGCACGCCAGTGCATCATCGTAGGCGTGACTTGGGCGTGACATCACCTAGGTGCTGCAGCATCCTTCTCCACTGAACAGCACAAAAATCGGTGCTGTAGGAGACAAAGGCGAAACGAGTTAAATATTACCGTCCTATATTTCTTATTGTAAGAGGTTTGTGTGTTGTTTTTTGGCTTATCATTATCACTAGTTTTAATGTGCCACACTGCTATTAATCATATTTAATTACATTCAAACCATTTTTCGAACCAAAACCGTCAGACCACCCGCGCCACGGCGTCGCCGCGCGCAGAATACGCTGCAGCCGCGCTCGGCTCTGCGTGCTGGCGGAGAGTGGGCCGAGCCGGGTGGCTGACATCGCCCAAATATGACACACACGGCACAGTTCTATGCTAGGCAGGCCTGAACAGCCCTCTGCAGTTAATGGCGGCAGTGACAGCACAGGGCAGTGAGGCTGACTGAGACTGCCTGGTGCCTCTGGGTCTGTAAATTAGAATTGAAACAAATTGTTGCTATGTTTATTGGCAAATTGTGCTTGTTTGGCAGCATTATCCTGCTCCCCGTGTATCATGTACATATAAAGTGTTGCCTTGTTTCGACAGCTTGATCGGCGGCTCCGACTACAAGCTCATCTACCGGCACTACGCCACACTCTACTTTGTGTTCTGCGTGGACTCGTCCGAGTCTGAGCTGGGAATCCTCGACCTCATCCAGGTGCTGGTCGAGACGCTCGACAAGTGCTTCGAGAACGTCTGCGAACTCGATCTCGTCTTCCACGTGAACAAGGTTAGTGGCTGGTGGGCTGAGGGGTCCTTTGCTTGGTGTTTCATTTAAGCTGAGTACTGATGCATTGGTTTTGCATTTGAGCTTTGGTTGAGTATCGATAATGCCTTCGTGTTGGACGTTCTTTGCACACCTCGTGTATGGTATATTGGAGTCTGGAGAAACGGTCAATGTCGATGCATAAGCAAAACAGCATTTTGCTCAATTTTGAATACGCACTAGGCCATCAAATGCCATTGTCCTGTTGAATGTTGAGAAGGCTGCGAGCGAGTGTATGTGCTGTTGTGTTAATGATCACTCTCCGCATTCTCTTTTAGCACTCATTAGCACTCGTTTAGCTTTCCTTTAACACTCGTTAGCGCTAGCATTCGTTGGAAGCATTAGCACTCGTTAATGAACACTCTCTGACCAGTCACCCGTTGTCCAGGTTCACTACATCCTGAACGAGATCGTGATGGGCGGTATGGTGCTGGAGACGAGCATGACGGAGATCATCACCCGAACAGAGGAGCAGAACCGGCTAGAAAAACAGGAGGTGCGTGTCAGGAGGTATCGTGAACAGGGAGCATGCGGAGGGGGTTAATGGCATGACGTGCACGTCGCCTTGAAGCCTGAAGGACTGATGCGATTGTGAGCATTGCGTCACACTTGCCAGACCAGACTGCAAAGCATGACACCTGCAGTGAGTCAGATTGGGTTCGTTATTGATGACATTTACTATCATTTGTAATAATTTTTGTTGTTTTATAAATGAACGGCGGCTTTGTAGTTCAATTCCCTCTTCATTACCCGCTACCGCTTCTGTTGCAGGGAGGATTCGCCGCCGCTCCGGCCCGTGCCGTGTCCGTGGTGAAAAACATCAACATCACCCAGCAGATCAAGGACATCAAGCTGCCCGACCTACCGGCCGCCATCAAGGATCTGAAGTTTTGATCGCTGCCACATTCCCTTCCCAGTAATTGATAACCAGCTGGAGCTCGTACATTGACCGGTGGTGTCTGGGCGGCTTGACTTGTATCGTGTTGTATATTGCATCGGGGTCGGGGCATTGTCGTGTATTTTTGTATGTACCTGCAATCGACGTTGGTGCTGTCCAATGTCAATATATCTATGGGTATGTAGATTTGTGTGTTGAGATTTGGGAGCACGCGGGCTCCACGGGCCGGGCTGATGTTTTTCATATTGGAGGGTTTTCCTCAGCGTTGCTCGACCTTCTCCCAATCTTAAATGACATGGAACTGTTGTCGTTACATCTAGATTTCAAATCATTGCTCTAAATACTCATGAAAACAGAGTACGGTTCGAGTCACCCATTCACCAGCAACATGAAAAGGTGCACCACGGCGGTGAGGAGCCGACGAGAAACTACAGCTTCCCTCGATAGATGTCGCCCCAGTCGTAATCTGGATCGGGTGCCGGCTGAATTCCGGGTAATAACGTCGGAACTCCACGCGGGGTATCCGATTCATTTACCCTGTTATCGTCTGTCGTAGCTGTTCAAGATCCCTCCTTTCCGTCTTTCCATGCTCAGGATATAATCCTCTGCGCCTCGACCCCCTGTTCCGGGCTGGATGGGCAACTTTATGATTTATCTCATTCCGGGAGCTTACATAGGAGCAAGTCCGTAGCCAGGTGCAGTCAAGGCCTTATATACCGGCACGGTGACTGTTAGGCGGCTGGGTGACCTGTCCACTTGATGGATTCAGCCCCGTCTGCCCACGAGGCTGTTCACCCAGACCAACGTATCCCCCTAATTCTTATCATCCTCCCGGCTGTAAATTGGTCTCGTTAGACCGAGAGTCTAATTCAACATTCAAGCGTAGGTTTCAGCGGTATATGTTGTGTATTGCGTTTATTTACTTACGCATGGAGGAAATAGCAATAATAAGGGCGGTAAAACTTAGGGAAAGAGACTGAGAGCGGCCTTTGGGGACTGGTAACGTTCAGCTATTATTTCGAGTCGACTGTGAATTCAACCCAGGTGGCAGGTTATGAAAATTTGGGTCATAAGTTACTGAAATAGTCAAACAATAAACACCGGCTACACCTAACCACACATGAACTATTCCATCGGCCTTGCTTTCTCGGCATCTTGAGGCAGTCTCTGTCCACATAGCACCACCCTCCCCTCCGCCAACCTGTCGGCATCTGAAGTCGACCGCGACGGGCCCTGATGAGAACGGCAGAGCCCGTGGCCTCTGACGGCACGTGCCACACTGGGCCAGTCTGACTGGACGGGTTTGTTTGGGTGAGCCGGGAGACGTCAACAGATCGTCAGTCATCTAGGACATGGGGTGGGTCGCGACTAGGAGCGACCTGGGCATGAGGACCTGGACATGAGGGTTCACACTTCCCGGATACTGAAGGACGTGACGGTTTTGCAGATGATTGCAACCCGTTGCTGTTCTCTTGTGATGTCGCTGCCTTGGTGATAACCAGTGGCGTATCTAGGATTTCTCTCAGGGGGGATCCGCAGTCAAAAGGGCCCTTGACTGACTGGGTTGAAAGGGCCCTTAAGTGGCAAAAGGGCCCTTGTAGCCTGAGTTGAAAGGGCGTTCAACCCGCGTCCCGTGGGGGGGGGGGGCGAAACGGCCCCCTGTCCTCTTCCGTAGCTATCTCCTAAATGACTGGAGATATCCCCACCAAACTTTCAGGACCTCTACGGGCATCCATTTTACACATTTTGACCATTTTTTTTTTCCAGAGGCCGCATAGGTATAAATAGGTTGGCCGCAAATGACGTCATGTTCTGCCATTTTCGACCCAAAAAAGGTTTCGCAGGAAGAGCTGTCAGCCCTACAGAGCTGTAGATACATAAAAATGTTCCGAGATAAAAGGTGTACAATTATCAGGCCTAGGTCAAATCTGAGCACAGTTTAGCCCCGCCTTGGGTTGGGCCCAGGCTGGAGCGTTGACCCTAGGTCAAATCTGAGCACAAATTACAGAAAGAATGTCAAAAGAGTTTTGTTTGTTTTGTTGGGCTATGCCCTTTCGGTCTGACCAGACCATTTCAGGGCCGGAAGGATGATAGGAATTGAGGGAGACATTGGTCTGGGCGGGCACCTTGGTGAGTCACCGGGGCTCAGGCCGACCAGCCCCCCAAGTGCTCACTGCACCCGGTTACGAGTGTGCTTCCTTAGGAGCTGCAGTGCGCTCCAATGGGAGCCGCCCGCATGGTATAAAGTTGTCCGTCCATCGCATGGTATAAAGTTGTCCGTCCAGGTCCAGCCTGGATCATGGGTTGCGGCATGGAGGAGAAGGATTTGAATGTCCTGAGGATGGAAACGGCGAAACGGGTGTTAACCCGCGCCGGGCCGGGGGGTGTTTGAACACCCCCCTGCGGTTTTTCGCAGATATCTCAAAAACGGCGGCGCCCGTTTTTGGCACACCTGTTTGTGCATCTTTTCCGCACATGTTGTGAAAATTTCAGACCCAGGTCGCCTTAGGTCAGGTCACCAGGTCACGCCAAGTGACCTCACCTCAGAAAAAATAAGAATGCTCCGCGTCATAGCTACACCGATTGATCGATTGCCTTGAAACCTTCAGCGATTGATAAGAGGAACATTATCTATAAAATGTTTATCTCGGAATTTTGATATCGGTGACCTAAGGTCAGGTCAATATCGCGGCCTCTCCATTACCTATCAGTCAATGGGAGAAAATTGAAAAGCGTCTGTTTTGCACGAACGCTATTCTAGACACTCTCTAACATCGAGATGTAAGAAAATTGGCACCCTGAATCGGAAAATGGCAACTGTGACCCCTCGTTATGTCCCCGAGGTCATCTCAGGTCACGAACAGAATCTAACAGTTTTTCGCCAATAACTTCTGATAGAGGCGTGCTAGAGCGCTGAAAACGCCTTAGATGTGTTCGACTCGACGTTGCGGATCGACTGATATGCAACATGACCTTTTCCGGTCAGGTCATGACCTTGACCTGAGGTCAAATTTTCAAGTTGACCTTTCAAGGTCCAATTATAGTTCATCCGACGCGTCTCGACGAGAGGACCACGATGCTGGCAAAATTAATGTCATGACTCTTTTGAGTGAAAAGTTATTTCCGAAAAGAACGCTTTTCGTAAAAACGGCTATTTTTGGAGTTTTTGCCCTCTGGAGGCTAAACCGTTGACCTGAGGTCAAATATCAGAACGTTAGTCAGAAAGGTCTGTAAAAGGGCTATTGAATGCCCTTTTCTCTGGCGCTGTAGCTCTATCGGTTCCCGAGATAGTCGTTGGCAGTTTCCAAAATGTTGAAATAGTCAAGATTTTACCTTTGGTGACCCCTGGTGACCTGACCTTTGACCTGACCAAAAAAAAAAATGACCTTAGTGTTTTCGTCCTTATTTTGGACGTTCTTTCGATTGCCGCTTTTCGCGTGTCGCTTCGTGGCCCAGGAGCCGAGTTAGAAGGGGGGGGTGTTCAAACACACCCCCCTTCCGGCCCGTCGCGGAATCTCAGAGCACCGGCCCGGCGCGGGTTAAAAGAGCTATTAACTACGCTTTTCCCCGGCACGGCATTCATTTCCGAGTGATGCGGTGGCTTGTTGAAAATTGTCGAAATTGGACCAGAAAATTGGCGAAATTTAGCCTTGGATGACCTATGTGAACTGACCTTTGACCTGATCTAAAAAGTGACCAGAGTAATTTCGTCATTATTGTTTGCGTCCTTTCGAACGCTGCCTTTGGCGTGCTGGTACGTGGCTCAGAAGCCGAGTTAGAAGCAGGGGTGTGGAGCCGGAGCTGGAGCCGGAGCCGCCGGAGCCGGCATACATTTGCCCGGAGCCGGAGCCGGAGCGGAGCCGTCCAAAAAGGCGGCGACTCCGGCTGCTTTTTTGAAGAGGAAAAAATTATTGACCTACATAGTTCGGTTTGACAGTACAAGGCAGTAAAACAAGTGGTATTCAAAATAGCCTTGTTATGCAAATACAGAAGCAACGTGAACGAATCCTTCATCTTTTCTCTTCCACCCGTATTTAATTGTATAGAGGATGTACTGAGTATTGGAGCCGGAGCCGCCGGAGCCGGACCATTTTACTCGGAGCCGGAGCCGGAGCCGAATCCGATTTTTTCTCCAGAGCTGGAGCCGGAGACGTCTGAAATTTCCACGGCTCCGCATCCCTGGTTAGAAGGACCCTGGCCGGCCGAGTGGGAGGGTGGGTGCCACCACATCGTTTTTTTTTTTTTTTGCGACAGCTCGGAACACGTCGGCAACAGAGAGCAAAAACTGGGCATAGCTACCTGATCTTTGATGCAAACCGGGCCTTGTGACACCTGCATTTTCAAGGGGGGCCTCTTGGTCGTCTTAAGGACCCTCTGTTACCTTCAGAGGGACCCTCTGATGGCCTCTGCAGACCATCACTGGCCTCAAAGGGCACTCTGTTGGCCTCCATGGAACTTCTGGGTACCTGAAAGGGCCCTTTGTTTTCTCTCCAGGAACCCTTGTTTACCTCAAAAGGTCCTCGTTTACTTCAGATGGCCGTATGTTTGTCTAATATATGAGGCCCCTGGTGGCCTGAGAGGCCCTGTTTGTGTCCCAAAGGGCCCTTTGTTGACCTCTTAAGGCCCCTAGTTGGCCTAAAAAGTCCTCTGATTGTCCTAAAAGGCCCTCTGTTCCCCTCAGAGGGCCAGTCTTTTCCTCAGAGTGCCTGCTGACCTCATAGAGCCCATAGTGGCCTGACATAGCCTTCATATCACCTCAGAGGGCCCTCTGGTGTAAGGCTCAAGTGACCTTCTCAGAGGGCTCCGGCTGCCCTGTGACTGACAATTGTCCACTCTTATCCCCCTTTTGGGTGACCTATTTCCCCCTCTGACACCCAAGCCAAAATACAATTTTGGGACACTGACTCCGAGGGCCAGTTGATTTTCAGAGGGCCCTCTTTAAAGTGGATGTGAGGACCCGCTATTCGCCTCAGAGGGCCCTCTGGTGGCTTCAGACTTCAGAGGACCCTATTTTGGTATCAGCGGGCGCCTCTCTGTGGCATCAGAGGGCCCTCAAAGGCTCAAATGGCCCTATTACATCTCAGAGAGCTGTCTTTGAACTCAGAGGGATCTTTTTTACTTCTTTGTGGTGTCTAAGGGGGCCCTCTGGCCTTTGTTCGCCTCAAGGGGCCTCAAGGGGTCCTC